TATATATATATATATATATGTGGCATTCAAGGAATGCCACTTATATGTGCGGCCACGATGTTGGTCAGAAAGGAGTATAGGTAGATAGCGGTGGAAGGAAGAAGTAAGCGTAGGAGAGGAAAGTTTAAAAGTATTCCTAAGGTAACGTAACTTAGAAAGGTTTTTCTAAGATCAAAAGCTAAGCTTGTCTCGACAACTATCTAAATCGTATTTGACAACCCTGCGTTAATAGTGGACTAGTCTTCTATATACGTAAAGCGATGACATTGACTTTATATCCCCCGTAAGAAGACCAACATTTTTCCTTTTTTTACCTAAATATTTTAAAGACTTTCAGCAAATATCTTAAAAATATCTTAATTGAGTTTTACAAGCAATCGATGTTTATTTATAGAATTTTTATATAAATACTTGCGTATTTCTCTCTTTGTATATACATATACTTGAATAAACCTTTCATTCATATAACGAAAATTAATAACTTTTTATATTAGTTTCGTTGAGTGATTATATAATAAATAGTACTTTGACACTTATTTAATAACGCGTGCGTCTGTCTGTGTTAAAAGGCAAAAGGACCAAACTGAAAGGCACTTAACTTAATTATCTAACCATTAAAAGCCATCATTATTGTTGCTACTATTTTCAGTTGAACGCTAAGCGGCTACAAAATAACATCAACAAAAAAAATTCACGCAAGAACGATAAGCTAAAGGAGTTGTTTTTTGCATTCACTCATTAACTGAAGTATTTGCAAATAAAGCTAAATTTAAATACACTTTAGAATTAAAAATGCCAGCATTATTAAGTGGTGGTTGTAACGGGCTTTCAAATGCTTAAGAATATAAGTAGCACCCAATAAAATAGTGCTGCAACCATTCTTCGTCTTAATGTACAGCAAAAAACAAAATAAATATGAAAAGTATATATGCGTATGTGCGTAAGTGTAAGGGTCATGAGTAACTCGAGACGTGATAATAAAGAACATTTAATAACCATTGAATTTATTCAATTAATTTTAAAATATCGACAGAGATTGTTGCAAGACGAGCGAAAAAGGTGTGCTTTCTTTCTGAAGAGAAAAACATCAATATTTTAATTCATTTCAATTTTAATGATAATTAAAAAGATGAAAAAGGCGTGGCTCCCACGCGTCTTAGAAGTGAAACCCCATACATTTATTGTTAATAAAATAATTATATGTGCGTGCGTGCACTTAAATGAATTGTAAAAAAAAAGCAAAAACTCTGTTTTGGCCATTGTGGCGTATGAATGTTGCCTAAAGAAAACATCTAATATCATTACACATCCTATAAACGAAAACCTTGCCTTAATAGTATGCTATACAAAATTACTATTATTACTCATACGGCCCGAAAATTAATATTAAACCAAAAAAGATCCGCTGTGGACGTAGTGGTGCGCTTAATATGTGTGTTACTTATTTACTTCACTAAGAGAAGAAAAGAAGTTTCACTTTAATCATAGTAAAAAAAATAAAAGCTTTAAAAAATTGTTTCCCAACAGTACCCAAGAAAAAAAGAGAAAATTATTCTTGAATTTTTTGCAGTATAATCAACATGTTGTCTGTCTGTAGCTTGAGAGTACTGATTAGAAGTATACGAAGTTTTCTTTTGTTTGAAAAATGAATATTTTTTGAAAGTTCACTAAACTATTTAACTAATTTTTGCAACTTTTATGTTATTATGATAGAAGCCCTTATAGGATTTAATACTTTTAAGCATTAAGGGGGTATAAAACCAAGCAAGCCAAAGCAAAAACCTAAAATAATTTTCTTTAAAAATTAGACCAAAAAAATATTTTTATTTTATATTACAATTAACTTATATTAAACGAAACGTTCCAAGGAAATAACAAAATATGCCTTTTTTTATGAAATTGTACATGGTATTGACAGTGATGCAATAATCTTTGTTAACATTTGTTTACGTATATGCTTTAACTAGTTAACTGTGTATGACGAATATATATACCATGATCCGTCCGTCGGTCCTTGTTGGATTTATTCATAAACTTTTGGCATTACGAATGCGTGTTTGACAGTATAATGAATTTTAGAAAATATTTTTGCCATTTTGTCAAGTCGTTTCATTACAACCCAACTTCATATTCTATACACTTTGCGGTACGAGTATATCGTTAAAGGCAGTTTTATCTGATTAATAACTTTCATCATCTAAGAAACGCTGCTGAAATGTTTCTTTGCGACTTATTTTGAACTGAGTGGCATCGGCTTCCAATTGTGAAAACACATTGAGTACTTTCACTACTGTGTGTGTAAGGGTGGTATGGTACTATGGAGCTACAAAGAACGAAGGAGCTGAAAAATAGAGCGCTTACGTTATGACAGCGGTGACTTATTGAGAGCTATAGGAAGACTCCGAAATTTTGAAATAAAATTTTAAATCATTATTAAAAGCCGTTCGATCTTTCTTTTGGGTTCAAAGACGAACGCTCTTACAAATGGAAGGGCTGGAACCATTTCTGCGAACTCTTTACATAAAACGCTCTGTTTTAGAAAAGCTCGTTTTAGTTGATCATAGAAGGTAATTAAACAATGTCAACAGTTTCGGTAGCTGGCTGATAAGCCATTGCCCTAAGATTACTAGCAAGAACGCAACCGTCCACACTTACACTTACTGTGAAAAGATTGATTGCTCTGTCGACCTATCGATCGTACTTCTCTAAATTATTGTCGCAAGAAGTCATCCTTTTTGACAGCTTGCCTTAATCACTTGCGCAATATTTTTTGGAGTATCACAGGACGGCACGTAATTGCTTGAAAAATACGCGATATTATAATCGATTGGTTGATCTTTTAGCGGGAGTAGTCAAGAAATGGCTTCAAACTCATTGCAGGTGAAAAGAAAAATTAAATCTTGTCCTTAAATGACGAAGCGAAAACAAGTAGTTTGTGTTATGCTGATTTATAATGAATTTATTAAATTGCCTTTCTATTAATCTAAAAATATACGAGTGTTTGTAGATAGGCTTATTTTGTATGACACTATGGTTTTATATGATAGACTTACATACATACATGATGTTATGCGTGTGTGAAAGCTTTTGAGAATCATTTGATTAAAATTTTGAGAACGATCTAGAATTAATTGCGAGCTTAAGTGCTTGTTGTAATATATTTTGATTGAATATTTATTTTTTATAGGAGGATATATTTGTTGTGTTGTTGTTGTTTTTGTTGTTGCATTTACTTACATAATAGCAACATATAAAAGTGAATCAATATGGAAAAATTATTAGTTGATGTAACATTTAACGGTTGCTATTGTTGTTATTGTTGTTCTTGCTGTTATATAAAAAAATCATGCCTGTGTGATTTAGCATAGTTTGATATATAAATATTTTTATAAAAGGAAATCAACTTGGATCCATATAGAAAGAGGCCTACGTTAAAAGGAGATAAATTTAACGCAGCCTCAGTTCACTGATTGTTGCATTAAATCTGATAACATCCATTATTTGTAATGCTTGATATTTTTCGAAGAATAATTCATCCGCATTATACAATTACCAACCTATATCCGATACCGCACGATTAGAATGTTTAAAAAGTAGTTATTATATGCAAAAGCTGTACAGCATTAACACACTTGCGATCTCCCAATACTCACTCACACCGATTACAGCCACAATGTGTGAAGCAACAAACTAAATAAATATTTCACTTTAGCTAGCACTGGGATTAAAAACATAACATGTACACTGCAATTAAATTAAATACCCACACAAACATGTGCACCTATATTAAAAGATTCACAGAATTATTTTACTCATGACACGCCGCTACCCGCCCGCGTACATATAATTAAGTCATAATAAAATTTTAATATACAAGTACACTACACTTTGACGCCAGCAACAACAAAGTTATATTTTAATTCGTTTTTTCTTTCGTTCTTTCACATATTTTTATTTAAGCTTATCTTCTCTTTCGTTTATTTAGTTTTCAAGCACTTTAACGCTTTGAGCTCAATTCCAGTGATTTAGTTTAATATTATTGTATTATTTAAGGTCTGCAGTTTTTTGTAGTGCAATTCCGAAAAACAAACAAACAAACAAAACAAAAAAAGGAAAAAAAAAATATTTTTTGTTTTTTCTTTTCAACTTATTTTCAGTTCTCCTGAGTTTTTCTCACGTTTCCTGTTTTAAGTGAATTTTTAAGAAACTTCGGTAAACGGTTGCTTTATAAAATACTAACAATGTAACGGTTTTTCTTTTCTCTTTGCGTTAAACAATTTCGTTCAACATTTGCATTAGACGTCTTGCCGATGAGGACGATGAATTATCTGAGGTTCAGCCAGACGCTGTACCGGCCGAAGTTCGTGAATGGCTGGCTTCCACGTTTACACGACAAATGGCCACTTCGCGACGCAAGAACGACGATAAACCGAAGTTTCGTACAGTGGCTCATGCCATACGTGCCGGAATCTTTGTGGATCGCATGTATAGACGGGTGAATACCACCACACTGCTACAATTTCCAGAGGATGTGGTTAAAACGCTTAAGGTAGGTTATTCTTTCTGTCCTCCCATTTCTCTTTCTCTCTCTCTCTCTCTCTCTTTCTTTCTCCCTCTTGACCATTGGCTTTATATTTACCATTTTAGAATCTCGATGATTGGTCATTTGATATTTTCCATTTGGCTGAAGCAACTAATGGTCAACCGATTAAGTATTTGGCTTATGATTTGTTCAGCCGTTATGGACTTATACCTAAATTTAAAATACCACCAGCTACATTGGAAACGTTTCTGCATCGGGTCGAGGAAGGCTATTGTCGTTATCGTAATCCATATCACAACAACTTGCATGCGGCCGATGTTACCCAAACTACGCATCATATGCTATGCCAGACGGGTCTAATGAATTGGTTAACTGACTTGGAAATTTTTGCTACAATACTCGCTGCCATAATTCATGATTTCGAACACACGGGCACCACCAATAATTTTCATGTCATGTCGGGCTCCGAAACGGCTTTACTATACAATGATCGGGCCGTTTTAGAGAATCATCATATTAGCGCTGCATTTCGTTTGCTCAAAAATGAAGACTGTAACATTTTGTCTCGCTTATCGCGCGAAGAATACCGTGAAATGCGCTCTCTCATCATTGAAATGGTTCTGGCAACTGATATGAGTTGTCATTTTCAGCAGCTGAAAAATATGCGTAATTTGTTGACCCTAAACGAGGCTACTGTCGATAAGCCGAAAGCATTGTCTTTAGTATTGCATTGTTGTGACATTTCTCATCCCGCCAAACGTTGGAATCTTCATCATCGCTGGACGATGTTATTGTTGGAAGAATTCTTTCGTCAGGGTGATCTAGAACGCGAATTAGGTTTGCCATTTAGTCCACTATGTGATCGCAACAATACATTGGTCGCTGAGTCACAAATTGGTTTCATCGATTTTATTGTCGATCCCAGTATGACAATTATGTCGGATATGTTGGAGCACATTTTATCTACGATAAATGTAAGTCCAGTCGAAGAGCCAAGCACGGATACCGATCCGTTATCCGCTTTTTCCAAACGGCACTCCGCACGAAGGCACAAAATACTCAAACCATGGGCCATTTGGTTAGCAGAAAATAAAAAAATTTGGAAAGAACAAGCTATTAAAGGTAATGAAAATCATTAAGCGTCAAAAACACTTCATATTAAAAGACATTGCTGATAAAGTAGAGTGTGCCTATCTTATTTTAAAATCGCTTTTTTATAAGTTGTTACCAATTGTTCCTCGCCAATCATTTATAAAATATTTTTCGCATATTCATTAATTGCCTTTCAAAGCAAGGATATCGGGGAACCGATCGCTAATTTTGATATTTCGTATTTGACATGCAGATTAGAAGATGGACGAAATATATTTTTGATCAACGAGGAATTCGGAAGCATCTTGACTGCGCATATCTACCTGTCCGCTGCCGTCCTTCCGAAGCATAATTTCCAAGATGCAGATCTAAATTGAAAGAAAAGCAGAAACAATGTTTAGATCTGAAGTTTTAGTCAATTATTTATTTCGAAAAGTTCGGTAACAAAATCATTATCGGAACGGATAAACGGACATATCGGCATTTCACTTATTATTACCAAGCTGCGTAGAGGTTGCTCTCAAGATAAAATTACATAAAGATGACGTTTTCATCAAGCAAAGTTCTCACGGAACTTCGTTTTCAATAGCTCACCATTTTATTGAAACGACGAAAATTCCAAATTTCCCTGCAAAGCTCCTGAAAAGTTGATTGCAGAGATGCTCAATGCGTTCATGTGTGGTGTCTTCCAATAGAAGCATGAATAGTTCGCCTCCAAGGCGAACGGAAAATGCGAACAGAAAGGTTGTGTGTTTGTTGACAATTTTCCAATTTTTAATTACAACAAGCTTTATTAACGGGCAATGATGGACTGTTCATGCATGTTGAGGCAAAATAGAGAGAACTATAACTAACTTAAGACTAACTTAACAGTGATTGAAAACGTAACGCTAACATTGTGTTTAGATGGGCAAGCACAGCCCAAACTGCGCATAGGAAAGTGGTATACAAGCAATATTATAATAATAAAAATAATAATAAAAACGGCTGGGAGAATGGGTTAGACATAACTTCAAAAGAGATTTAAGAAAATTGGAACTTTTTATTTCAATTCAGAATCATCTTTGAGAGTACGTTGTACACAAGAAAATAAGACAAGCAGGAGGATAGATGAATAGAGAAACTTAGCTGGATTCAGAATCATAAAATCGGTATAATAAAAGGCGGATCTATCGCAAATTCTTCTGGGTGTTGCATACATCGGCACATATTTAATATACCCTTATACGACAATTAGTGTGGAATATAAAAATAGATGACATGTGTGTAAGATTTTATGTTTGCAGATGGTTCGCCTAGATATTATGACTGAGAGTTACATTCTGGCATGATTCGTTATAAAAAAGTTGGTAACATTACACCTAAATCAAACCTCCCTTATGAAGAATTGATTTATAGAAAACAGAATGTCTTAACCTTTCACATTATTTCACATTATTTATTGGCCAAAATTGCAAGAAAAAGATAAAAATCATAAATTTTTTCTTTTATTTTCTATTTCATTTAACAAACAGATGCTGCGGCCAGACTAACGGATAAAATCGAAAAAGTTGAAACCGTAGAGAGTGAGAATGCAGAAGATACGGGAAAGGCGGAGCAGTAAATAGCAGCATAAACATTTCTTGATTACATTGTAAGTGAAAATAGCAGCAAATTATAAATTAAAAAAAAAAAAAAAAAAAAAACACAAAAAAACCCTACCAGAGGCCTATTAAAAGAGAAATCTAAATAAAAAGAATTATAAATAAAAGTTATTTCATAATGAATTGCTGATCGATCACTCAAAGGCGAAGGTAGGCTATTGTTAATCTGTAAAACATTCTACATACACACTCATCAGTTAAATATACTTCGCAGAATTTTGTAAATACCTATCATGCGGACATGTCTGAAACATGTTAATAAATTTATATATATGTGTATGTAAATGTGTTTTAATTCTCATATCATACAGCATTAAGAATGACATAAGTATATACTACATAGCAATCTCTTCTCTTTTTCTTCTTTCTCACTCTCTCTCTCTCTCTCTCTCTCTCTCTCTCTCTCTCGGTCTCTCTTTCTCTTTTTTCTCCTCACTCTTCCTCTTTCCATGTGTTGGAAGCTTTCCATTTATATGTATATATATGTGATCGTCGTAGTCAAGTATGTGTGTCATGTGTAGAACCCATTAAAAATAGAGAAAGTATTGAGCGTCTCAGCCACTTTTGGCGTTTGAATAATATACTACTTGTTACAAATTGATGGAAAAATACTCAACTCAAACGAATACAAAACGGGACAAAATCCAGCAAAAGAAGGCAATAATTTAAATTCTTATGTTACTGTAGCGACAATAAGCGACAAAAGAAAAACAAGTAAAGCGATAATGATGAACGCAATGAAAGCATTTGCGTCATGCACCATGTACACAAATGTCAAGATATGCTTACATCACTGAAGCGAACTTATAGTTTACATGCGCTGTTGCGTGATGGACATTGCAAATGTATTTATCGTGTTCAGCGCTTAAGGAAATTATGTTCGGCTGTGACCGAATCTTTTATACACACATCACGTTTATCCTAAAAACATTAAAAAAAAGAAAAAATTGGCTAATTTTAATATACAGGGAAATGTTTGTCCGTCTGTCCAGAAATTACCGAAACGAAGATAGGTCATCTTTTAGCAAAAATAACAGTGTGAGATACACGTGATGGACTTGATTCGTTCCATTCAGAAAGGAGGAGCGTTTTCAGTATATTTCATCGTACACTGTGGACGTGTCCTTTAATTGATTTGCCCAATTTTCATTACCGGCTTACACGAAACAAGTGCCAATCACAGGAAGACGAACAGATGGACGGGCAAATATGCATCAATGGAATCAGTATGTGATACTGTTTATTAATACGGACACTTTTCAAACTGGTGGGTGGAAAAAGGTCTGCCCATATCTTATAGAATAGAATTTTGAAAAATAGCAAACATATCTACGCTTTTCGCATAGAAAGGAGATGAGTAGGGAAAGGGAAAGAAATTTAAAAAGAATTTTTCAATATCTATTCGAGTATTCGCAACGAAGTTAAAAACCGCTTAAATTTGCGTAAAAAGGTAACTTAGTATGTGTTAGGCATCCGGAAATATTTTCCTTTAAAAACGGCGCCATCAAAATCAATGACGAACAAAATTTACCCGACCACATGTTGGCAAACAGGGCAACAGCATGATCAAGTGATCAAATATTGA